AAGAGAAGCATACCTGGGTCGACTTGGATGAAGAAGAAAATGGCAGAAACTCGAGATGTGGCTAGGTCGACCACTGTGGCTATTGCTGGAGAAGGAAATCGATGTGGCTGCTCTGCTGTTTGAAGCGTGAAGAAGAAAGAAATGTCTAAAGCTTGAAGCCCTAATCCCGAGTCGTTTTCTTTAATCCCTGCGCTGTTTTTTTTTAAAAGCGACGCTATAGTCGCATCTTGCTACAGTGTCACCTCTCGCTACACAGGCACAGAGGCGAGCGCTATTTGTAAAACGCAACACTACACAGCAGAAAAGCGATGGAGGCTCGTATCGCTACGCCTCACGCTATTAGCGCTGAGGTGAGCGCTATTTAGAACACTCGAATATCTTCATTCCTAATCCTATCTCTTCTATTATGACCACACATCCATCTCAGCATCCTCATCTTCGCAACTTTATCTAAGAATAGTAGTCAAATATTGTAGTATTATTTTGACTGATTTTTAGGAAGCACAGTAGGTCAATCATTTTGGGAGGAGAACAATTGTGCTCGATCACATTTATCTTGTTTTCCTTCTAGCATTTTTTGTGGATGCTTGTAATTATATCATCTATTAAACATTTCAAATCACAGTGTTGTTTCCTCATCTTGGCAAACAGTACTTCACATGCAGTGAAGATGAGGATTTATCCTGTAAGCTGATGTCCATGATGAAACAAATGAGTTAAGTATTATGTTTTAATAAACAATAATGTTGAATGCCTAAATTTTTAATGATAGAGGACCTGGTGGATGATGATGATGGGGTCTTTGAAGAGTATTTTGAGGAAGACGCCGAGCTTTATGTAAGTTCTACAAGAAACTTCAAGTCTTGTATGGTATTTAATTTTCATTAATTTTCAGTATAACCACTTTGTGAATTTCATATAGTGAGCCTTTTTCCTGTTTTAAGGTTGGGGATGGATCGGGAGGAGGAGGGATCTCTCTGGCTGGGACATCATGGGACAAAAGAGCATTAGAACTTGCAGAAGAAGTTGCACTATCATTTGATGGAATATTGGGAATTTATGCCTTTAAAACATTGAAAAATGCCAACATTCAAGTACGAGTGGAGAGACTTACAAATAAGTAAGCTGCAGACATTTGCTTGAGACAACTATTAGTTGCATATATGTCATGAACCACGTATTAAATCCAGTTAAAACCTCTATCTGATGAAGGGAGAAGCAGGTCAAAAGTTTCTTTTCTTTTTGTTTCCACGGCTTAATTTGCAATTGTTTTCTGATCGACTGAAATGCATTATTTATTAAGGAGCTTTTGTCCATAAGATGAAAACTTTTAGTAGTGCCATTGAGTTACTAGGCTCCTCCTATCTTTCTCCTTCTAAATACCGTCGTACTATCTTTTCTACCTTCTATCTTCCTGCTTACTTGGGCATTCTGGATTAGCAAAATAAGTTCCTAAGAGTTTCTGAATAATTAGTACAATTACTTTCACTCATATGTAAAAGAAAATGATAAAGTTTGAGACATAAGTAGCCAAAAGATGTCATGTGATTGTTTGAAGAGACTGCAATGGTCTAGCATCTTTGAGTAAGTCCTCTCTCCCAGCTCTTTCTAGAATGATATATTCATGTTTAGCGACTTATCAAATATTCAAACATTATTACGTCTGTGCACTTAATCCAGTATCTTTTGTTGCACCATTCATCTGTGGTTATATCTTTTGCTTTTCTTCTATTTTTACGTTTCCTCAAGTTACTCTGTAGATACCATATGTAGTCTTGATGTGCAAAATTATGCATGCAGGTCAGGTACTCCTAGTATGATGGATATTGAAGCTTTCTCATTAAGATACAGAGAAAAGCTTGATGAGGCTGAGGTAGATGGATCTATTCCAAATAACATATCTCTTGAGGTTGGTAATCCTTGTCTGCATTGCCAGTTTGATGTTATTCTATGTCAATCTAGAAGGATTCGTCATCACAAAAGACCAAGTTTCTAGCTCTCTCTAAGACTTAAGGGAGTGAATAATCTTTCCAAGGAAACAATTATATTGCTTCTAAACTTCCCAAGACAATTGCATTTCTCCCGAAACATCATATCTGCATGTTACGTTCTTGCAATCATATGTTAAAAGTTTCTTTATTTTATCACATCTTTTTTTCTTCTTTTTCTGATGAAACTCTATTCATTTCAATCTTTTGCATATGAAAAAATTTATCAGGTATCATCACCGGGTGTTGAGAGAGTTATTCGGGTTCCCCAAGATCTCGACCGGTTCAAGGATCGTCCTATGTATGTAAAATATGTTAGTGATGAAGTGGCTGAGGGTGGATCATCATCTGAACATGATGGTGTTCTCAGGCTTGTCTCCTTCAATTTGGAAACTAATGCTTGTATTTGGGGCATAGCAGATGTTAGAGTGAATAGAGAAAAAGCAGGGAAAGGTGTTCCTCTAAGCAAAAAGCAAAGAGATTGGCGCTTGGAGACACCATTTACGTCCTTGCGTTTAGTTCGTTTATATTCTGAATTTTAGAAATTTTAGAGGTTCAAACATTTATCTAAGGGTCCTTTTAGCAAAGAACCTCTTCTGCTAACAAGGTTTACATAAGAAGTGAAAAAAGGACAATACGATTCATTATGGTACAGGATATGAAAGCTTGTATGAAACTGGATTCAGAAGTAACTGGATCATAACATTTTAAAGATTTTGTATTACAAATTTATACATATTGCTACTCATAATATAAATGTCAGGTATCGCTATACCCATTCTTGTTCAACTAATCCACCTATGTACTTTATGTAACTGGCAACTAGAATTCTGTTGTCAGGATCCAGATATGGATCTAAGCAATAAAATGAAAATGCAAGCAATTGGAACAATTTTCTAGATTTTTTAAAATCGTAAAATGGATATCAAACTACAAATCGGAAATTGCAGAATTAAGCTAAGGTATCTAAATGATAAGTCGTCACCATAGCCATTGGAATCTGCAGAAATTAAGAAGAGAAGAGAGTCAGAATTGGGAGGAAAGAAGAGAAAGGAAGAGAATGAGAGAGGAGAGTGGAGGGAGTGTGAGACTTGTTGTTCATTATTTTCCTTCTCTCTCTTCGTTTGGTATATAGCAACCTGTCGACGTGGCAACATCTCGTCCCTTGTTGCTCATTCATGGAAATCTAATCGTGGCCTGGCCGTCCCTTTTGAAAGTTAGTTATTCCTTCTTATTACGTCTGCCTATGTTCGAACCCAGTTGCCTTAACTTGTTTACTTTGTTATATTTATGGGTAAGGTCATTACATACCCTCCCCCTTCAAACCATCCTTGACCTCAAGGATGAGGATCAAAATCAGGAAATATCGCTTTAAGGAACTGATAGTCTTCTCAAGTTTCATCTTCCGGTTGTAGGTTGGACCATTGCACTAACACCTCGACAACTGCTGCATTATTCTTCTTCACCATCTGCCTTTGTAGGATTGCAACTGGCTTGACTAGAAATTGTCCATCCTCACTAGTGCTAGGTAATACAGTTTGTACAACAACTCTGTTGCCAACCTTCTTCTTGAGCAGGGATATATGAAACACATAATGTACTTTAGATTCCAGAGGCAAATCCAACTTGTATGCTACCTTGCCACTTCGAGCCAGCACCTTATAAGGCCCATAGTATTTAGAACTTAGTTTTCAATTCTTCCTTTAAGGCAATGGAAGTTTGCCTATATGGCTGGAGTTTTAAATAGACCATGTCACTAGCTTGGAATTCCCTGTCAGTTCTTCTCTTGTCAGCATAGTACTTCATCCTTTCCTGTGCCTTGCACAAATTATCCTTTAGCAGTTGGTGCATTTGTTGTCTTCTCATAAGAACATCTTCAGCTACTGGGACTATGGTCTCTAGCAATAGACCAATGGATAGATGAGGTGGAGAATAGCCATACAGAGCTTCAAAGGGGTTGTATTTCAAGCTAGTATGAAAGTTGGTGTTGTACCACCATTCTGCAACACTTCGCCACTGCTTCCAAAGAGTAGGTCTGCTAGCACTCACGCATCTGAAGTAGTTCTCCAAACACTTATTCACTCTCTCAATTTGGCCATCACTTTGAGGGTGATAGGCTATACTGTAACTGAGTCCCTAGTAGTTTGAACAATGCCTGCCAAAAATTGCTCAGGAAGACCTTGTCTCTATCAGTAACAATAAGTTCAGGTGTGCCATGTAGGTTATGCACCCTTTTCGAAAATACATCATCTACTGTTGCAGCAGTATAGAGATGAAAAAGACCTATGAAGTGATCATACTTGGTCATTCTATCTATCACCGCCAGTATCACTTCCTTATATCTAGACTTAGGCAACCCCGCAATGAAGTACATGCTAATATGGCTCCCAGCTTGATTAGGGATGGGAAGGGGTTGTAACAAGCTAGGGATAGGGGGGGGGGGGGGGGTTATAACAAGCCTGGGTAAGCCATATTGTCATCCTTACTTCTGACACAACATCAGAGCTAGCCACAAACTCAATAACCCTTTGTTTCATTCCAGGCCAATAGAACAGTTGTGCTAGTCGTATAAGGGTCCCTAACTGTCCAAAGTGACCACCCATTGGAGAGTCATGAAAGGTAGAAATCAACTTCTGTCTGAGGGCCCAATTTGTGCCAATATAAAACTTCCCTTTTCTCTTGAGAAAGCCAGATGTGTATGTATATGATGAAATCGGCCTCGTCATCGAGGTACCTCAGAAGATCATCTCGAAGCCTCGAGGCTACAAGGCTATGGTCGAGTTTCCTCCCTTGAGGTTCGTCAACGGCCGACCTTGGGACAATGTTGACCATGGTTATGGTAGAAATGAGGAGTTCCCAAGGTACACGGCTAGGACTGACAGGGACTAGTGGACTATCCTAACCCTGAATCAGGGTGTCATCTAGTTGTCCCATCTTCGCTTCTTCGTCATTAATGTATTTTATACTATGTTGGGATTCCCCTCCTATATAAAGGGGATCCTTGTTATTTTGTAAACCCATGTTCCTTCAATTACACCATACTAAATAAACAAGAACATTCTCTCTGTTCTCTAACATATTCTCTTACTATTGTTACTTCTGTTTATTATCTTCATCATTGTTCTTCATTTATTGCTTATCATTGGCCATAAAGAGCCTTCGTTGATTTTATTATAACTGTTAGCCATACTTCGACCACCTTCCATAGCTCCCAGCCGAGCTCTAGAATCGACCTCGAGGCCCTCGAATCGACAAGCTCGAGGCCCCAATAATTAACCTATCGGTTTGGTTATCACCTTATCCTTAACTCTTATTTCATTTCCATGTCTCACATACATAGCATCAACTGCTTAACAACTAGCATAAAAATAGATCACATATATTTAGAGTCCCATAATCAAATTTAATTGTTATTACCATTTTCACAGTAAACCATTTGGCGCCCACCGTAGGGCTGAAAATATTAGTGATTATTTTCTTGCTGGTTTTACTACATAACGCAAATTATCTTTCACACTTTTCTTGTCCAAGATCTTCGATTTCAGGTCGAAATGTCTAACTCAGTGAATGGAGGTGAAAACAACAATCTTGAGGACCACATAGAAAACGGTGTGGGTGTTCCAAGTGTTGGTGTGACACCACGAAACCCTGGTAATGCACCAAGACCAATTCCGGCGGAAACAGTCTCGCGCGATGCCAAACAGGTCGATATAAGCTCGCACACCGACATGAGTGTGCACCAAGGAGATCAACAAGAATCTTAGAAAACCCCAACTAGGGAAGAACGAGAGGTTAGCCTTCATGTTATTTTTGAAATGTTGCAGGCACAACTACTGGCTATTGCTCAGCTGCAAAGTCATCAGAAAACTCCTAGCACAGTAGCACCAGGGACAGCTCCCCCAGCCGAACAGGTACCGGAGAGACCAAGCAATAGCGGGTCGATGACCGATCCCGTCATCGTAAAAATGATCTAGGACCTCACTAGAAGGATCGAATCGGGCGAGAAAATAATAGAAACCAACGACAAAAAGGTCGATACCTACAACTCCAAGGTCGACCAAATTTCGGGCGCACCCCCGATCCTAAAAAGGATGGATTCGAAGAAGTTCATAGAAAGGCCATTCCTAGAGGAAGCGGCTTCGAAACCCATTCCAAAGAAGTTCAGAATGCCAGACCTCCCAAAATACAAATGGACCTTAGACCCCAATGAGCACGTTACTGCTTACACTTGCGCAGTGAAGGGCATCGATAAAGGACGACGAGATCGAGTCCGTCTTACTAAAGAAGTTCAGGGAAACACTCTCGAAGGGGGCCATGATGTGGTATCACAACTTAGCTCCTAACTCCATAGACTCATTTGACATGCTGGCAGACTCTTTCATAAAGGCACATGCCGGTGACATCAAAGTAGCAACAAGGAAATCTGACATGTTCAAGATCAAGCAGAGGGAGAATGAAATGCTGCGAGAGTTCGTATCTTGTTTTCAAATGGAACAAATGAAACTATCACCAATCTCCGATGATTAGGTAGTCCAGGACTTCACTCAAGGTCTGAATGAATGAAGCTCGGTGGCTTCAAAGCAGTTGAAACATAATTTGGTCGAGTATCCCGCTGTGACCTAGTTGGACGTCTACAACTGATACCGGTTGAAGATCAAGGTCGAAGACAACTAGCTGGGAGCCCCCTCGGGCTCAGTATACCCAAGCAGGCTCTTGGCAAAGGAACCAAAGCCAAACAAAGAAAGATATCAGCCATACATCGAAGACAGAAGGAACGCCCCGAAGAGTAACCCACCTCGCAATGATCGAAGGATAGACCGGGGATAGAATCCTCGGGGACTAATCAACAGAGCCGGGTTAGATAGGAACGCGGGGCCAGCGGAGGCACCTCGCTTGTCAGAATACAACATCAACGTCAATGTGTCAGATATCGTGTTCGCCATCAACAAAATCAGAGACGCCAGAAGGCCCAGGCCTGTACAGTCGGATCCTTTACAAATGAATCATAACTTAGTATGTGAATTTTATAAAATGCATGGCCACAAGACCAAGGATTGCCACCAGCTCCGAGAGGAAGTAGCCGGGCTACTCAATAAAGGTCACCTCCGAGAATTCTTAAGCGACCGAGCCAAAAATCAGTTCCGGGAAAGAGAGGCGGCCAACAAGAGCGAAACGAATGAGCTGCAACATGGCATCCACATGATCTTGGGAGGCATTGATTCCCCACAGGAACCCGTGTCGAGAAGGACGAAAATATCCATCATCAGAGAAAAGCAAACCCGGGGGTACATACCCGAGGATGGCCTCACATTCAGCGAAGAGGACACAGAGACCTTGTCTCAACCTCACAATGATGCACTGGTAATCTCTTTCCTCATAAATAAATTTCAAATAAAATGTGTACTCATGGATCCAGGTAGCTCGACCAACATTATCAGGTCGAGGGTAATAGAGCAGCTTAGACTTCTTGACCAAATCGTGCCCGCCACTTGAGTCTTCAGCGGATTCAACATGGCAAGTGAAACAACGAAAGGAGAAAGTACCCTCCCAGTCAACGTGGCCGAAACAACCCAGAATGTCAAATTCCATGTCATCGAAGGAAACATGAGGTACAACGCCTTGTCGGGAGGCTGTGGATACACTGCATGAGAGCAGTACCATCCACCCTCAACCAAATGATGAAATTCCCAACAAAGGATGGAATTAAAACTGTCTACGAGGAACAACATACCGTAAAAGAAATGTTCACGGTGCACGATGTGGCGCCGACACCA